ATGTAGAGATGCAAGAGAGATAGCTTGTAACATTGATGATGATATGACCCACTATGAGCCAGTTTAGAAGATTATTGGTGAGAAGTAGGATAGGCAGCTACATCCACTATTGCATACAATTGAGTATTTTTTGAACCCACCTTTTTATTATGTTGATAATGAAATACATATAAATGACACAATAATTGGATTTAATAAGTGTCTAGATGTGCTAGTTCCTACATAGGATATCTAAGACATTATATGAGCTGATGAGTTAGTAAGTTACAATTGCATATTAAATTCTTTTGGAAGTCCAATGACAGTGAGGCAAAGACCAAAATCGATCCAGGTAATATAATTCTTAAGTTCCTCATATTCAAATTTCATATTTGTTGTTTGTTTATAATTATAATTCATAATCAATTTGCAGCCAACATGGTGTAGTGCTCCAAATTTACAAAATTTGGTCATTTGAATCTTGAGCCTAACCACTACTTCATATGGTTGTGAGAAGTATTGGAGTACTTTTGAGATTGTAATTTAGTTTACTTTATTGGTTTACAATTTACTAATTTGCATTAGTACTTTGGCAATTACTAGTTCGTACATTACTGATTGTTGAGTCAATCGTAAATTGTAGTATTCTATTAATTAATTTCATTTGGATTTATTACATTTGTACAAAGAAAATAAACATGTTTGGATCAAAGAGGCTCAATGACCTAGTTTATGTGAAGTATAATCGATACTTGAAAGAGAAATTTGATGAGATATATAAGAGCGATCCCTCACATAAAAAATATGGATAATACCATGGAGTAGTTGGTTGATAATGATGAGGTTGAGAGGCATACTAGATTGACATGGGATATAGTCATGAAGGCCTCAGGGACAGCAGCCCGACCCTCTTAGGGCCACTATATCTTCTTCTAAGAGAATGAGGGTGGAGGATGAAGCAGAGGTAGATTCAAAAGAGACAAAGGAGGACGACTATTATGTTGAGGAGGGAGATGATTTTGATGGTGATGGGCTTGGCTCGAATGTAGATGATAGAGCTGACCCTAATTTTTCTAATGATGAGTGATGACTGAAGACTCTTTTGAGTCTTCAAGTTTAAATTTCTTTCATTTTTCTTTTCCTCATCTTGGTTGTGTGTATGTAAGCTGTAAAGATGTAACGATGTTTGGACCAGTGATTGAAAAATTGGCCAAGTAGCTTCTCCTTGGTCGAGTTACTTGGGCTCGGGCCCTTGCCCTTGTCGAGCCCGAGTTATCCCGAGTTGGGAGCCCAACTCAAGGATATTAAAAAAATAATAATAAAATTTTAAAAACAAGAGAACTATTTAGGACTTATTTTTATGTTTTTTTTATCATTTTGGCAAAGATTGGGAAGTGTTTTGGCCATAAATACTTAGTTTTACATTTTTCTCATCATGTTTGGATTATTTACCCCCCAGTCACAAGTTGATTTTTTAAAATCTGTTTTATTACTACTTTTTTTAACATTATTTTGAAGTGTTATGCTTAATCTTACTTAAAATATACATTTCATTTTATTTTTATTTTGGTTTTTTTATATTTTATAATTTTTTAACCTTTTGTTTTTGTTGCTACAATACTCAGCACTAATCGGTCGAGTTACTTAGAGTTGGTCTGAGTAATCGGCTTCGGCAGAAGCAATTACTCAGCTCAAGTTGCACTTTCTAACAATAGTATGGACTATGGATATGAGCTTATGAAGTATGGAGGAGTATATATGGAGTTGTCAACCATGTACATTTGATATGTCCTAAACTCCTATATGTTAGAAAAGAGCACTCGCTTAATTGATTAGCGCTTGATGATTTGCGAGGCTACATCATGGGCTCAATTTCTACCAAGGGTAGGGGCTCTCTCCCCACAGAATCACGGGAAAAAAAGAATCTCCTATGTGTTATTTCGTTCCTTGTCTTGACGATGACTCAATGTCTTGCCGTATGTGATTATATATTTCCTATTTTTACTATGTGCATGGACTATGGAGTGCATAGAGTTTGGATTATAGTATAGCCTATGGAGTATGGTCTAATACTCTAATGTCTAATGGTTTGAATTTTGAACTTTGATTTTTAAATTTAAAATCTATAGAATTATGGACTGTGGACTATGAATGGACTATATATTATGTATTATTAATGTGTTCTACATCTCAATATATATTTTCTAATTTTTTACACAAAATTTGACCCTCAAACAGTTAGATAGTTAGATATCTCATGCTTTTTATTCTACTAGGCCGCCTAAGTTCTGGGCGGTCACCTAGGCACCCGTCTAAGCTCAAGGCGGCCTGACCGCCCCAGGCCGCGACCACTTAGGCACCGCCTGACGTTTTTTGGAATACCACAGTTTTATCCTAAAAAAGAAAGAAAGCCAGACAAAAAAAGCACATTACTATGGATAAAATTAACACAGTACTTTCTAGCCAAAATGTCAATTGTATTCCCCACATTTCTTCCAGACATAGCTAAATAACAACAATATTTTTCCCAGGTTACATATAGATGCTACCCAAACAATAACAATCTATTTTTGAGGTAATGCATCATGTCAGTAATATTTTTTTAGACAATATATTTCTTAGACAAAGTATTAAAATGCATCTTAATTCTACAATTTAAGGTGTCAGTCTTATATAAACCTTTTTCCTATTCTAATACCTAAGGGGTATAGGAAAGAGGGCCTCGGGTAGGTGTTCTTTAGGTTCTCTCTTTATATGGGTTGTTATAGATATAAAAAATACATGTAGAGAAAGGTATGTGCATGTGGATTATGAGGTTTTCTATAGACTTGGGTGGTATTCTAGTGAGAGAGAAACTTTTTTTTTTTTTTTTTTTGGGAAAAGGTTTTTGATAATGATAACGCTCCAAAATCATTATACTATTCATGTTTTGTATGATATTTTTTTGATTAATAGACGATAAAGTTTGATGCTTTTGTATGATATTTTTCTGATTAATAGACGGAGAAAGTTTGATGCTATGTAGATATAATCAGTTGTTAAACTATGTAAATTTGTATTTGGGAAAAGTCTATATAAGGTTGCAACCTTAAAATGTAGCATTACAGATGCACCTCAAAAATCTATTGGAAAGGTTCTTTTAATGTTGAAAAACTCTCTATTTGATCATCTCGACATCGAGATGTATGAATATAAAAAAAAAGTTTTTGAGTCTCAGAAATAGTGCACCTTGCAACACATTATCTAGGCCGTCCATTTTCGAGATTTTCATATGTTTATAGATCTCCTTGATTTTAACTATTTTTTGAGTTTAAAATTTTTTAATTAGATATAAAAATAGATTTTGAGATAATCCTTAGAATTTTTAACAAACAAATTATATATTACGATAAAATTTGGAGGTGCGTTTTAATTGGATTGTTTAAAGTTGCAACCTTATAGAAAGTGCACCCTTGGTATTTTACTCCTTTAATTTCTCTCCCTTGTATTTCACCGAGAGTTAGTTTTATCATCTATAATATGCACCATAGAATTTAGTGGACGAAAAATATGGCTGAAGTTACCAAATTTCCCTTTATTAGACATGTTAGAGTCATCTTGCCAATCTAACAAATCACCTTAAGCAAGTTCCCGCAAGTGCAAATATACAATTTGTTCCCACGGATCACAAAATTTCGTCCCTCTTTCTTTGTACACAACGGAATTTAAAGTGGTCCACATCAAGTGTATGGTACTAGTGAGACATGCGTCATCGATTGTCAATGACTACGGTGAGGATTGAATTTTAAGCAGAGTGAACTGTTGATGAACGCCACCTTGTGTACACTAGTGATGTATGGTTTAAACCAACATGCCACATGGCATAACCAGAATCACAAGATAACCCACTTTTCGTTATGAACACCTGGCGATACCTAATTGGTTATTTGAGGATAAAAGGCACCTTCAATGCCATGCTGGCAAAAGGTCAAGCCTTGCGGAAGAAACTCCACGTAAAGTACGATAGTACCCCTACTTTATCTACCTTCTTTCGAAATTGCGCCTCTTCTCCAAGTAAAAGAAATTTGCGCCTGCAAAGGACGCGGTTTCTATGCGGCCAGCCCGCATATTATAGACATGCGGGCTTGACAATAGATATGTTTTTTAAATATAATTTAATCTTTTAACATGGAGATTATGAATATAAAAAAGTAATAATAATTGAAAACTAGAAATAATAATTATATTAAAAAAACATTTGAACAGTTCATTACCCTTGTTTTTAGATGGGCTACCTATTTGCATCCATCTTTAAGATGGATGCTTTATACCTCTTGAACGCATATTGTACAAATTTTTCATCTCCAAATGATTAGAACACCTTTTACCTTTTATTGTTGAAAAAAAATGAAATAAAATAAGGCCTTTAAATTGTCATGGATCCATGTATATATAATCACTCGAGTGATTATAATTAGACAAAAATTATGATACATTTCTGATAATTTCACTGCATTCCAATAAATTAAGTTTCGTTGATGAATTTGAGTGAAAGGGAGGGAGAGGAAGCTCTTGCCTATTCATTCTAGAGAGAGAGAGCTTTTGTTTATTCACTCTAGAGAGATCAGAAAAAGTTGCGTTGCGTAAGGAAAAAGTTTATACGACGGCGAGGTCTTACACAATCAAATTAAAGTATATTAAAAAAATTCACTAAAAGAGGTCATTTCGATGCCTACAATTCTTCATATTAATCAACTCAACTTCACGAGATATGGATATAAAAAAAAATAGATTTTAAGTCTTAGAAATAGTATATTTGTAATGCATTACCTGAACTATCAATTTTTAAGATTTTCAAATATTTATAGATCTATTCAATCTATACTATTTTTAAAGCTAAAAATCTATAATAAAAAATAAAAATAAATTTTAAGGCAGTCACAAAGGTTTTCAGTACTGAAACAACATCTTTTAGTATTACTTGAAATTACGCCTTACTTGATTGTTTAGGGCCCCGGCCTTATACAAAGTAGAGCTTTTGGAAAAAAAAAAGAAAAAAGTTTTAGGGTCATATTATCATATAATTGGGTCATCATTAGTTCTTCTCATCAAACAACAGTCCCGGCACTGGGCCTCATGGTTTAGGCTCGTGCACCTGGTTTTGGGATATGGGGTTTCCAACGAGTTTGCACGTCCCTCACTTTCTCTGTCTAAAAAACCAGGAACCCACACTCTCTCTCTTCACCACAACTCACAAAGGGCAGCTCAAAAGGTCAGTGAGGGTCACTTGTTTGGACCCCATGAACCAGGATAAATGCATGCTCATGAAGAAGAGAGCCCTTCTTCTTTTGGGAATCTCAGCTTTGCCTTTCTTGGAGTCCAGTGCAACAGCAATTGAAGCTACAGTGACAGGTTTGTTAAAATTCATCCAAGTTTCTGGGTTTTTTTCATTGTTCTTTTTGCTTTTTTGAGGTGGAAGATTATTTGGTTTTGGTTCTTTTTTGAATTACTGGTTCAGGTGATTGAGACTTTCAGAGTTGTGTTTCCTATTCTTGATATGTGCAAGATACATTATTTGCGTTCTTGCTTAGAGTAATTTTGAGCTATTGGGTATGAGTGATTGAATAAACAAACAGGGGAATTCATGGTGATTTGACTATGAAATATCATTTCATGGGTGTATTTAATTGATTCGATAAGCTGTTAACACGATGTGGTTTTGATTTTTTCAACAACTAACAGTACCAGTGATTTAACTCCTGATTCATTTTGATGTACTTTGGTCCCTAGTGGATCATAAGTTTTCTTGAATGTAGTTCCTAATTGATCTTTTGTCAAAGTTGAGCTTCAAGAAAACTAAGGTTAACTGTAGGAATCTCACTGTTTACCCTACCATTAATACCCAAATGTTATTTATCTTAACCCATAACTACTCGAGGACTACAATTCAACAGGATAGTGAATCTTGGACCTCTAATTTCTTTGTGGCTTGTTGAAATCTTTTTAAAGAATCAACTGTTCTTCTTTATGGATGCTGCAAATCGTCAAGGGGAAATCCTTCATAATAGGCACCTTTCTATTGAAAGAAGGCAAAATTAGCATTCAGTGAGGATAAGCATCAACATTGGCACGACCCATGATGCCGGAACATACCTTGAAAGAAATGCCAAATCCTTCTAATTATGGAGAAATACAACAGCAAGAGGTCCATTGACTCGAATTCATATACATGAAGCATAAATTCAAGGACTAGAAGCCATGCTGTTCATAATGATCCCCCATGAGAAACTAGTCATCTGAATACCAACACTCATAGGAGACTTTAAATTATACAAGTTTGGGCACCTCATGCCACCCTTTCTTTGCAAATTAGTGAAGAGAGTCGTGATTAGGAACATAACAATGTATCTGAACTTGACGGCTTAACCTGCTGTCATGGTGGCGTGTCATTCATATGTGTGTCTTGGGTTCGAAGCCCAACTTGATGACTGACACCCTGGATGCTCCCCTTCTCTCTCTCTCTCTCTATCTCTCACACTCTCAAAACAATGTATCTGAAAGAACCATTAGTACAAGCTAGTGGGACGTTCATGACCTTTAGGCTAAGCGATAACCTACTTATCTTGCCCTCCTCATCCATCAAGCCTCTCCAAAGACAAGGACGCCACACAACCCAATAACTTATTCTCTTATGGCTTGTCCCCAAATCTCCTCTGTCTTTTGGATCACAAACTTTCTACCTATTCACCGTATGGAACTTTGTGCCATTCACTACGACCCCTACCAAAAAGAATTCCTGTTGGACCCTTATTAGTTTTTGGCACTGCCCCTGAATTTTGGAAGAGGGATAAAATATAGCAGTAATTTGCATTACTTCGCTTAATGAGAGTCAACTTAACAAACTTTAAAAATTAGCTTTTCCATGGAATGATCATATTCCTGGACTTCCCTAATGCTGGAGAGAGAGAGAATGAAAGAAAAAAGATTGTTTCTCACATCACGTCTATTTCCGCCCTCGTATCCTCGAATTCCATCCCGCATATAATGTAATCTAGTCACCTGCAAAGTAACATTTTCGTTTTCTTTCTTCCTTCCTTCCTTAATCCTTGAGACAAATCACCAGACACCAGTTCACCATCTAGATTTTACTTGCCCCTTGTTGGAGTCCTTAAATTGCAGAACTGACCTGATCAAGTTCCTTTGTCTCAAATATAGCTTAGAAAATAAGAAGCTCCTGCAGACTGGACTTTCGCACATACTTTACAAGACCTACCCTTCAAATTGGATGCATCTGAAATCACTTATGTCCTCTAAGCCCTCAACCTTAGCTATGACATGATTGGGGTGGGACTAAACCCCTTTCCAGATCTCCTTTCTGTCATTAATTAAAGGAAAATGCTTATTTCCCAAAATTGCAACTGGATATTTAGAAGGGCAGGCTTTTGCTCTCCAGCTCTTTGGAGAACATTGAGTGTGAATCCTTAAAAATACCAGGTTTTTTTCTCCTCCAGTTCTAACACCTTTTATTCCATTTCCTAGACTTTGAATTCTGCGTTTGGACATTGAACTGTAGCTCAAGGTTTCTTTGTTATCGGAATCAGTAACCACGAGAAACTGTTTGATACTTGTGAAAATTGCATTTTCTTCTTTATGCTTGAATGGATTTGGTTAGCCATATAAAGCAATTGGCGGATCTTTGTATAGATACTTCACGTTGATGGCTTTGCCATCGTTTCATGGATCCTTGTATATTTTCTCAACTCTGGTGTGAGTAATATTGTTAAACCTTTAGGCCTATATTGAAACTTAAACACAGGAAATTCAAAATCCAAACTCATTGGGAGCATATTCAGCAGACTGTAACCTATCAAGGGAAAAAAATAAAGAGGCTGGAAACTGTATAAGAATATCTCCTTGCTTATTCTCCAAAAAAGAAAAATATCTCCTTGCTATATAGTTTCTTACTCTTCATACTCTTCATATTTCTTTTACCGGGCATTCATCCAATTGCAATGGGATGTTGATATTATCATTTCAGAGAAACTGGAGACTTGCACTGCAGAGGTATCAGTGTTTGACCAACCAGAAAACAGAGGAGAAATTCCAGTTTTGCAGGAGAATGGAACTGGAGAGGTATCTGGAGCAAAATTTTCTTGTTTCTACTTTTTTGATAAGACCTTCCCCCTTAAATGTTATCTATAGAAGTAGAGATGAGCTTTTATTGTTTTCTTTAACGACATATGTGGCAGAAAATCAAGCAACGATTGGCATCAGGAAATGCATTCGTGGGTCTCCTGAATGATGTTGGAATAGTTGGATCAGGAATTCTTGGTGCTTTATATGCATTGGCACAGAAAGAAAAAAAGACAACTGAATCTACTATTGAAGCTGTAAGTTTTTGTTTCAAATTAAAATTCAATCGTCATCCCGATTGGTTTGAAACTGACAACTTGGTTCTATTATGTACAGCTGAGGGCTAAAGTAAGGGATAAGGAATGGGCCTTAACTACTATGGAGAAGCAAGTTGAGAGAAGGTTACTAGAGGAACAAGAGAGAAGTAATCAGAAGATCCGAGAATTTAAGGAAGAACAGCTTTCTCTCTCTAATAAATTGGCTTCGGCAAACCAGACGGTGGCAGACTTGCGACGAGACTTGGGTAGAGAGAGAAACTCCATCCAAGATCTTCAGCTCCAAGTAGAATCACTCCAAATCAACACAGCACAAGCCAGACGAGAAAAAGGAATGCTTGAGTCCAAACTTGAGGAGGCCCAAAACAAAATAAGTGATTTACAGGATAGGACTCAGTTATTGAGTGCAGAACTGCAAGACAAAAATAAAAATATCAACAATTTGAACATGTCCATGGTCAGGAAGGAATCAGAACTTAAGGACCTGAGTCTTACATATGAAGAAACCAGAACTTTTCTTGCAAAATTGAACTCCGAAATCCTAGGTTTAAAGAACCAACTTTCAGTTTCCAAGAAGGAATTAGACACAAAAACCTCATCGATTGAAGCCCTAAACCAGAGCCTAAAGATGGCCACTGCTGAAAGAGATGACTTGAAAAATAAAATCTCAAATTTGGACCATGAATACAAGAAGTTCAAGTCATCCTCTGAAGAAAAGATAGCAGCTGATTCCAAGCTTATATCACAAAAAGAAGACGAAATTCTGGAGCTGAGAGAACAATTGGAGCAGGCCACAAGACAATCTGCTAAATATCATGGGTTGGTTGATGAGTTAACAGCAGAAAGAGATGGCCTAAATGCCGGTTTAGAGAGAGAAATAGACACTGTAAAAAGCTTAAGGAGTGAGCTCTTGACAACCCAAGAGACCCTAGAATCCTCCAAGCTTGAGACTGAGAGCGTGCGATCTGAGCTGGAGAAGTCGACGAAGGCACTAGAAATGCTTTACTCAGATGTTTCAAAGTTTAGAACAGAGTTCTCAGAAGACCGAAAAGTCCTGCAAAAAAGTCTGGAAGGTGAGAAATTGGCTTTTAAAGCACTCTCTGAAGAGCTTGTTGCTTTAAGAAAAACACAGAAAAAAACCCAAGAAGAGCTTTTAACCACTACTGAAAAACTGAAATCCTCAACTAAAACAAGCGAAAAGGTTTGTAAAGAGCTCCTGGAGGCCCAAAAGAGTACAGAAGCAGCCATAAATGATGTGAGAGAAGAAAGAAAGATTGTGAAGTCTCTTAATAGGGAACTAGAGATCTCAAAGAAACAGGTTTTAGAAGCCTTGGAAGCCCGAAAGGCCCTCGAAAAGAGCTTAAATGAGGCAGGTGAGTCCTTGGTAGCCATAAATGAGAATGTTCTCTCTCTTTCTATAGAGTTAGAGGCCTCAGCAGCTAGAAATGACAGTTTAGAGTCCGAAAAAGATTTGGTATATAAATCTCTCATTGAGCAAAAGAAGGTGGCGAAAGAAGCGCAAGAAAATGCAGAGGATGTACATAATATGTTGCTTAGGATTGGAAAAGAGAGAGAGACACTTTCAAAGAGAGCTAAGAAACTTGAAGAAGAGATGGCTTCAGCAAAAGGAGAGATATTGAGACTAAGAAGACAGTTAGTGGATGGCCAACACCAGTTGAAGAGCAGTGAGAAAGAGGGGGTGGGGCCCACTACCTCAAAGAAGACAGTTAGGAGGAGGAAGGCGGGACCCACTTTAGAAGTTTCATAATATGCATGTTGTCCTTGTAGTTTAAGCTTCTGATTTTTAATCACAAAAAAAATGATGAAAAAAGGAAGAGAGCCCATGATATTTTGTCTTCCTTTTTTTTTTTTGAGCTGCCTAGTTTTCATGCTGTATATCTTATCTTTACTGATTAGTTGCCTAATTTTTGTCTCTTTTTCTCTTCTAGATGTATTGTCCTCCTTTGCTGTTGTAAACTTTTCTTTGTTGTATCATCTATCCTGGCAATAAACAGAATTTGTGTGACATAGTCGTCATAGTGGATTGTTTACAGTCCATGAACATTTTTTGATGATTGAATTAGGTGTTTTCGTCATCGGACTGTACAGGACTTGGGCAAAAGATCCGATTTTTTCTATTTAAATGAGCCATTCTTGCATGATTTCAAAACATGCAACTGTATAGCAATGAAAGTGTATAGCAATGAAAGCAAACTGGCAAAAGGAGCAATCAGATCCTATCTAATGGCATTAAGATCATCTGTAACGACGCTGCAAACTGTTGATTTTCAAACTCATTTCCAGGAAATTCGAGTAGGTGTGTATAACCTTTTTGATGGTTACTGATGGAAACAAAAAAAGAAAATAAAAAAATGAAACGCCAATAAACATCGGTACCTGTTGTGTATTATATATGAGAATTCCCGTGCAATTCGAGTAAGGTGATACATAAAGGAAATTATTTTTGGGAAACTGGTTACACTCAAAACAGCACGGCCATTCCTCATTTGACCATTATCTAACTTTTGAGGGCCCTAAGTTTTTAAAAAATTACTCTCTTGCAAAAAAAATAAAGGAAGATTTTCAAGCTATTATAAGTTTTTTGACACCAAAACTACATCCCCAAACAAAACAGGTGTACATTACTTCTACAATATAAGGAGTGTGCTTTGTATAAACCTCACCCAAGAACTATATCACTGATAATTCAGTCTTGTTCCAAAAAAAGGAGCCAAACAATCGGCAAAAGAAAACACATTAGCAAATACCATTATGTGAGAAAAGGTGTTCCAAAAAAAAGGAGCCAAATAATCGGCAAAAGTAAACACATTAGCAAAAATCATTGTGTGAGAAAAGGTGATTGGTTCATATTTGACTCAATAAAATGTAGTTATGGAATAGGGTGAGGTTTGCATATAGCCGGCTCTAAACAATCAAATTAGAGCCCACCTTCAAATAGTGTCAAGAAATGTGCTTTCAATACTGGAAATCTTTGTGATGGTCTTAAAATATATTTTCATAATTAATTATAAAATTTAAAGCCTCAAAAATAGTATAGATCGAGCAGATCTATGAAAGCTTGAAAAACTTGAAAATTAACGGTCCAAAAATGCGTTACAAGATGCACTAGTTTGGAAACTTGAAATCCATTTTTTTGTCATGTCCACGCATATTAATACAGGGATGATCAATTTAAGGATATTGGACATCAAAACAACCTTTTATAATGGAATTTTTGACGTAGGCTCCAATTCGATTATTTAGTGCCTATATAAACTTTTCCCTTTAGAATATACAGTGTATTGGTGCAACGGAAATCCATTTATTTATATTAACTTTTGAAAAACAAAGAATTTCAATTTGTAATCAACTAATGAATATATTAGAATGAGCCATAACAAAGAATAATAGGCTCAAGGCACATTTTAAATTTTTTTAATTTTTTTAAAAATCAAATCTCTTACAAACATTTTCCAAAGATGAGAACATTTTTGGGAACAAGAAAGACACTAGCGACTAGGTGAATAACTACAACACAAGAGACGTAAGAATTGATACTCCCGTGGGAGTATAAAGTCCATCTATTCCCTCAGGCAAAATTTATGCTAGGAACACTTTTTAGATCCCAAATTTGGGGATGTAATATTTTAACCCAGCGAATAACTCAAAATAAAAACTCCCACGTAGCAATGGGTGTTTTTATCTGAATTATTGTGTTATGATATACTTTCCCTTTTAAGGGGACGCTTTTAGCAAAGGATTGTTTGCTTGAAGACTGTTCACTTTTAGAAGAAGAAAGTCACCAATTTTTCTAGCTATTAAATATGAAATCTGGTTAATGACAAATTTCCCCAGAGCCTAATTTCAGTGATATGTCACATTTTTTGGGGTATGGGATCCACGGCTTCTTGGTAGACCTGAGGGTGTATGCAGTATGAAAATCTAACATATGGGTGACTGTGTTTTTCTTTGTAATGATTGTGATCTTTTTATATTAAACATACAAGAAAACAATTCAAATAAGAAAAAAGTTTAAATAAGATCTTGATCAAATGCAATTCCTCTCTAAAAATCTATTTTAAAGATAAATTTAGGATCTAAAACACATCTTAAGAGACTCTTCGATGCATTTTTGTATTAGATCCATTTTTTTCAAAACTCAAAAAAAAAATAGTGCAAGCTCTAATGATCAGTGCGGAATTAGATAGTGATAAAATGTTTTAGAAATAAAAATATAAAATGATCTATTTCTAAGTTTCAATATCGAATTGTCCTCGGTGAGGAATTAAAATAGATGGTGATAAAATGATATAAAAATAAAAATATAAAATGATCTATTTCTAAGTTTCAATATCTAAATGTCTTCTTTTCTTTTCTTTTTTTTAAATTCATGAAGGTAATCTAGAATATTAACCCCTAAAATTTTGGTTCCAAATTGATTTCTAACATGGATTATTGAACGACGTCATTTGCCAATGCACTAATACTCATCCCAAAGGAAATGGCCTAATTATGTAAGGAAAAGTGTTGCGCGCTGGCTGGACCGCATTTCTACATATGCGATTTAGAAAGTATAAAGCATCCATCTTAAAAATAGATGCAAGTAGGTGTTCTGTCTAAAAACAATAGAAATTAACAGTCTAAATGTTTTCTTACTTGAATTGTTATTTCTAGTTTTTAAAATTTATTTATTTTTTATATTACAGATTACATGTCTTTAAAAATTAAGTCCTAAAATCCATCTCAAAAATAGATTTATTAAGAGGCCATCATTTCTATGTATGCAGGCTTGGCCGCATAGAAACCGGGTCCATTATGTAATGAAGGGAAAATGAGGTAAATGTCTAAAAAAATAAAAATACAAATAAAAATAAAAAGGGGGGAGAGGGGGGGGGGGGGGGTGGGGGGGTAGGGTAAGTAGATACCTCTAATTTGTACTTTACTTAGGAC